CAGCCTCCCAGCACAGGGCACAGCCTCCCAGCAGAGCGCAGAGCCTCCCAGCACAGGGCACAGTCTCCCAGCACAGGGCATGGCCTCCCAGCACAGGGCACGGCCTCCCAGCACAGGGCACGGCCTCCCAGTAGAGCACACCGCCTCCCAGCACAGGGCACAGCCTCCCAGCACAGGGCACAGCCTCCCAGCACAGGGCACCGTCTCCCAGCACAGGGCACAGCCTCCCAGCACAGGGCACAGCCTCCCAGCACAGGGCACCGCCTCCCAGCACAGGGCACAGCCTCCCAGCACAGGGCACTGCCTCCCAACACAGGGCACTGCCTCCCAGCACAGGGCACAGCCTCCCAGCAGAGCGCACAGCCTCCCAGCACAGGGCAGAGCTTCCCAGCAGAGCGCACAGCCTCCCAGCACAGGGCACTGCCTCCCAGCACAGGGCACAGCGTCCCAGCAGAGCGCACAGCCTCCCAGCACAGGGCACAGCCTCCCAGCACAGGGCACAGCCTCCCAGCAGAGTGCACAGCCTCCCAGCACAGGGTGCGGCCTCCCAGCACAGGGCACGGCCTCCCAACAGAGCGCACGGCCTCCCAGCACAGGGCACGGCCTCCCAGCACAGGGCACCGCCTCCCAGCAGAGCACATGGCCTCCCAGCAGAGCGCAGGGCCTCCCAGCAGAGCTCACGGCCTCCCAGCAGAGCTCACAGCCTCCCAGCACAGGGCACAGCCTCCCAGCAGAGCGCACTGCCTCCCAGCACAGGGCACTGCCTCCCAGCACAGGGCACAGCCTCCCAGCAGAGGACACAGCCTACCAGCAGAGCGCACGGCCTCCCAGCACAGGGCACGGCCTCCCAGCAGAGCGCACTGCCTCCCAGCACAGGGCACTGCCTCCCAGCACAGGGCACCGCCTCCCAGCAGAGCTCACAGCCTCCCAGCACAGGACACAGCCTCCAGCAGAGCGCACTGCCTCCCAGCACAGGGCACAGCCTCCCAGCACAGGGCTCGGCCTCCCAGCACAGGGCACGGCCTCCCAGCGCAGGACACGGCCTCCCAGAGCAGGACACGGCCTTCCAGCACAGGGCACCGCCTCCCAGCACAGGGCACCGCCTGCCAGGACAGGGTACCAACTCCCAGCACAGGGCACCACCTCCCAGCGTAGGGCACCACCTCCCAGCATAGGGCACTGTCTCTCAGTGTAGAACATCATCTCTCATCTTAGCAGGTAGCCCCAGCACAGGGCACCACTTCCCAGTGTAGGGGACAACCTCCTGCCCGGCATAGGGTATGAGCTCTCTGCCTAGGGCACTGCTACATTTGGAAGAGGTCAGACTTGGAGGAGGTGCTGGTGGACGAGGAGAGCTTTTTAAAGGGTCTGTCAAACCCCTTCCTGTGTGCCCAGCCCCAGACAGCCAAGAACTCAGAGGGAGCCAATGCTTTTAATTGCAGTGTTTAATTGCAGAAGGTGGGGCGTGTGCACGATGCATCAGTACTATAAGAAGCAAGGAGCAAGGGCAGAATCCCCTGCTGTGCAAAAAGGCCTCCGGATACTTTCTCTGCCTGTCTCCTGGTGCAGGCCCACAGAGGAGACCTCCTCCACGGCAGGAACCACCGATCCAGGGGTGAGAGCACTACAGTGGCATGGGAGTAGAAGGTGGTTGGTGGAGCTGGCCTGGCACAAAGCCCTAGACTTTCTCACACCTGGATTCCACCAAGGACATTACGTCCTCCCAAGGAATGTCATAGACCTGGAAAGAGCAGAACTGTTTCTGTGAAAGGAAAGTGAGAGGGACAATCAGTGTGGATTGCAGTTAAGGCAGGAGATGACCAGCATGAGACATCGGAGTGGGGGCAAGGAGGGATGGAGGTGAGACACTGGGCCCCACCTGCTCCTGCTGAGTCCTGGTCACTGAGCCAAGCTGGACAGTGATGACTCAACTCCCCCTCCCGGGGGGATGGAAGGCTTCAGGTCCCCAGGTGGCACTGCCCCCATCCCCAGCCTGCAGGATTCCTGCCCCAGCACAGCCCTGGGAGGAGCAGCCTGTGCAAGGCCTCGGGAGCCCCAAGGGTGCAGGGAGGGGGAGGTGGCTCACTGCCCCCAGCTCCTTCCACCTCTAAGCACTAAGAGAGATCAGAGGGAAGAACACAGGTCAGGGGAGCTATCCCTCAAAGAGCCGGGGCATGGGGTGGGGGCATCAAGGGGATTGCAGCTCTCTCCAGAATGGAGACCTCACAAGAACCAGCAGGTCCTTGGAGAGGCTGGTGTGGGGTGAGCGGGGCAGGTCCAGGGTTTTGCAGCTAATAGGCCTCTACCTTCCTCTAGTCTGCTCAGTGTGGCCATAGCTGCAGGCAGGCACCTGAAGCTGGGATTAGGCAGAGCCCTTCTCCCTGCCCAACACCCAACCCTGCAGCTGCTTCCTGCAGCCCAGCAGGCAACACCCCAAAGCACACAAAGTGGAGCTCCTAGTACCCCCATTCCCAAGCTAAAGCCCCTTAGCAAATCCAATTCATCACCCCCCTCCCTTGCCACCCCATCTACATGCACACATATAGGCATCTACATGAACTCACCCCAACCCTCACCACATGGATCTATGCACAAACCTCCCTACTTCCCACACACAACATGCACACACACACACTCCCATGTACCTCCCCACACACTCGCACATGTATGTATACACATGCAGCTTTTCATGTGAAAACCACACCTGCATGCCTATTCACATGTACATGCACAGTCACATATAACTTCATATGTACAACCTCCATGTCCCTCTGAACACACATCTGCCCGTGTGAGCACAACACACATGCATCTCCCCATACACATGTACACATGCCTGCATGCCCTGCTCCAGGCATACCCATGCACACACACATGCTCTTCAACACATGTGAAGGAGCACACACACATACACACACACACACACACACACACCCCTGCAAGTGCACAACTGTCCTCTGACCCACAACAGGCACATACCTCCTGACAGTTGTCCAAGTTGGGCTGGGACTTGGCACACGTGGTTTGGCTCATCTCTACATCAAAGTAGTAGATCGTCCCGGCCACGACCTACACACGGGAAAGGGCACGATGCCCGGACAGTGCTCTCCATGAGTTTCATGCACACACAGCACTTCACTGTGACTGAGTCACTGGACTTCCTGCGGCTTCATTCCTGCCTTCATGAGCTGCCCATACTGCCACCAAGGCACACACTTACCTCCTGCCGGCTGGCAGCAGCGATATGCCCCAGGCCTCCCTGGTAACTTGTTTCTCTGTGCCAGTGCAAAGGATTAACTGAATCCTGCTGGCCCAGCGGGCAAGGACACTGGATTTCTTCTAGGAAGGTTGTCATCTGATGATGAAATCTCCACTAACTTCCGGTTTCTAGCATTCAGCCCACTTCTTCCATTTAACTCTGATTCCCTCATTTATCGGTAAGATATGAGAGGCTTCTCACACATGGATGTTTTAGGCCAATAGGAGACTTCCTCTCTAATGCCTCCATTCTGAGTGGGATTTTGGCCCCAGTATTTCTAGAGTCTAGCACCTTAAACTTGCTCTGGCAGAAGACAATTGAATGCTTTCCCTGCACGGGGCATCCCGGAGACACAACTTGTCAGAACCGTGAGAAGCACAGGAGAAGGAACCCTGGAAACAGGCTGTGAACCAGGAGGAAGTTACGTGCTCTCCAGGGTATGAGTGCACCCGTCTATACATTAGGACCCCGGACCCAGTAATCCACATCATCCATATTTCACTCTGAGTTACTGTCACACTTCAGGGAGACTTGCTGCCAAAGGGCCTCTGCTGATGGCTGCAGGAGAAACGGGGCTGTTCTAAACTCATGTAAATTTCCAGGAGAAGGTAGGGAAGCTCTGAAGGCTGTGTCAGTGTTTGCTATTTGGCCATGGCACACAGGTCAAACTGGGCCCTGTAGCCCCACTGAAACTCCCTCCTGACCCAACCCCCTACTCTGCATTGCAGGGTGACTGCTGTCCTCACCCAGCTGAGGTCTAATTCTACATCGGCTGACAGAGGCAGAGTCATCAGGCGGGCTCCACCCCAGCAGGACCTCCCCAGTCCTGGGCTGCAGGACGTGGTCAGCCAGCCTGAGGGTGAAGGCTGCTAGCCCTAAGGGGCTGTGCCCAGGGGTGTGACTTGGGGAGAAAAGGAGGGTTCTGCAGGACAAGGAGCCAGGCTCTGGTGTGGCCCCTGCAGAGAGGACTCACCCCTGCAGAGCGGACTCACCCCTGCAGAGAGGACTCACCCCTGCAGAGAGGACTCACCCCTGCAGAGCGGACTCACCCCTGCAGAGAGGACTCACCCCTGCAGAGTGGACTCACCCCTGCAGAGAGGACTGACCCCTGCAGAGTGGACTCACCCCTGCAGAGAGGACTCACCCCTGCAGAGAGACTCATGGAGGAGGACAAGCCTCATGGCCTGGATCTCATCCTGAGCAGCACCAAGCCCAACCCGAGGAGGCACAGTTCCCATCCACACCTTCTGGACCCTGGGAAATGCCACAGTCATGGCACAGACCCAGCGGCTGCTGCAGGTTAAAGGAGACAGAACGGACAGGACAGGGCTGAACTCATGCACTCGTGCCCGGGGCGCAGCTGGGCATCAAGGCTGTCAGTGGACAGTCAGGGAAAGCTGAATGAGTCTGAGCCTTAGATCATGAATACGTCAGTGCTGATTTGCTGGGAATGCTCTTGAAGGGGCAAAGCAGGCTATGGCACCCCTGGTGTTGTGGTAACACCCACCTGCTCTCTGGCTCGCAGCACCTGCAGCGAGTCAGTGTAGTACACGTTTTTGCTGTTCCTCTTCCACTCGCTGATGGCAAACTCCAGGGCACGCTGTACTCTCTCATCATTGAGGTCTGCGTCATAGAGGCCACCCACAAGCTCTGGGGTCTCCTCCTCGGAGCTCCAGGCCAGGGCGCCCAGCAGGAGCAGCAGGGTGCATAGGAGGCGGGCCATGGGCTCCCAGAGGCAGAGCACAGAGCTGGAGCTGCAGGAGAGGAGGGTGAGAGCCTGAGGCAGGATGCCCAGACCAGCAGCAGCTGTGCATTTATCCTGCTTGGACAACCCTAGCCCCACCTCTATCCATGCCCCACCCCGACTCCTCCTCCTCCTTCTGCCCATCCCCCTCTTTCTCCATTTCTCTTTTCATTATGCGCCCCCCCCCACCGCCACGCAACCTTCCTCCTCGCATAAGTCCCCCTGCCCCTTCTGGGCCTGCTCCTCCTCACTACTCTCCTGAGTCCCCACCCCTTCCCAGCCCTGCTTCCCCTCCCCACTGCTCCCAAGCCTGGCTAACACTTGCCTAGAGAGGGGACACTGTTCCCTGGGCTGTGAAAGCAGTATGACCTCCTGTTTCCTCAGGAAATGGAAAAGTGCAGAGCTTGGCATTCTGGGGTCCTCAGTGTTCAGAGGCATCTGGCAGAGCTTGGTCATGGTCTGGGAATCCCTGAAACAGAGAGATGATTTCAGGAGCTCCTGGAAGGCTTATTCCACATCCTGCTCTGGGAAACTTCTTTGCCAAACATAAGAGAGTTAATCTTTTGTGAAAGGTCATTAGGCTCTCTTTTCATAAGTCCTTGCTTTTCAATAAACAAACCCTTTGCCAGCTCCTCCTGGTACCATGTGGTCTAGGACCTGGAGATGGAGCCCGGGTGACTGAGCCATGGACAGAGATGAGACACAAACCCACGAGCACTTTTCAGTTTTCTAGTAGACACATTAAAAAAGTAAAAAGAAATGGGGAGTAATTTTAATAATGTTTCTTGTTTAACTTAATATATCCAAAATATTATTTCAACATATGGGAACAGTTGTTAATGAGATCGTTTACATTCTTTTGAATGTGGGTAAGTCTTTGAAATTCCCTGTTTTCCTTTCCTTTTTTTTTTTTTTTTTTTTTTTTTTTTTTTTTTTTTTTTTTTTTTTTTTTTTTTTGCACTTAGATCAAATGTTATTTCGGACTGACCTCATTTTAAGAGTCCCATGGCCACATGTGGCTGGTGGCAGTGATTCTGCGTCTTAGGGTGTGTGGGAGGATGGCGAATAGTGATCAATAATTACTATCAAGAAATGAGTCTATTGGAAGTGAGAGTATGCCGTAGGGACAGACGGTGTCACCGGACCTGGTCAGAGAGTCTCTGTGAGGCTGGAAAGGTGCGAAGCCCTGCTGATACAGGACACAGCCCCAGGCAGCGGGAACAGCCAGTGCAAAGGCCCTGAGGTGGGGCTGGGCGTGCCTGCTCCAGGAAGAGGAAGCTCCTGGAGGGGGTGTGAGCAGGGAAGGGGACAACCAGGAATCTCACCGTGACTGTGGGTGGGGCCAGGTGGAAGGTGCAGGGAGACCCTGATGGGGTGTCAGGAGAGGGAGCGGCAGCCGCAGGATGAATGTGGAGCCCACGGGCCTCTCTTGCTCCTCGCCTCTGGGAGCCATGCTGCCAGCGCTGGTCCTCTGTGCACTGCTTGGAAAACTCACTTGATTTTTAAAAATTGCTTTGAATGAGGTAGACTTTATATACAATAAAATGCCTAACTGTATGTGTCTAACCTGGGGGATTCATTTATTTTTATGGATTGCAGGGTACAGGTAGAGTTATATTATGCGGATATATTGCATAGAGGTAAAATCTGGGCTTTCAGGGTACCCACTACCAGATAGTGCACAGTGTACCCACTAGGTGGTATTTCACCTTCACCTCCATCCCACTCTCCCACCCGTGGGAGCCTCGTTGTCTGTCATTGCACTCTGCATGTCCCTGTGTGCCCATTGTCTAGTTCCCACTTACAAGAGTGGGTATGCAGATTTGATCTGCAGTTTGAGTCATTTCACTGAAGATAATGGCCTCCTTATATGTTGCTTCAAAAAACATAATTCCATTCATTTTTGTGGCTGGGTAGTATTCCATAGTGCACGCGTGCGTGCGTGCACGTGCGCGCACGCACACACACACATATGCATATACATGGAGTAATATTCATATATATATACACACACACACGCCCGACATCATTTTATCCAACTGTCTACTGATACCATGACTTTGCTATTGTGAAAAGCGCCACAAGAAACATACAAACGCAGGTGTCATTTTTACATAACGATTTCTTGTTGAGGGGTACCATCCAGTAGTGGAACTGCTGGATCCCAGGGTAGTCCTACTTTGAGTTGTTTGAGAAATCATACTGCTTTCCATAGAGGTTGTACTAATTTGCGCTTCCACCAAGGGTGCGTAATTGTTTTCTTTTCCCCACATCTTGTTCAATGTCTGTTGGTTTTTGACTTCCTTTTGAGATAGGGTCTCATACTCTTACCCAGGCTGAAAGGCAGTGGCACAATCATGCCTAACTGTAGCCTCAAACTCCTGGGCTGAAATGATCCACCTGCCTCAGCCTTCTAAGTGGCTAGGACTAAAGACCCATGCTGAGAAGTTTTTATTTTTTGCAGAGACAGGGTTTCACTATGTTGTCCAGGAGGGTCTTGAACTCCAGTGCCCAAGCAATCCTCCCATCTTGGCCTCTCAAAGTGCTGTGATTACAGACATGAACCACAGCACTTTGCTGTCTTTTGACATTTAGTAACAGCCTTTCTCCCTGGTGTACAATGATATCTCACTGTGGTTTCAATTTGCGTTTCTCAAATATTTAGTGACGGCACTTTTTCACATGGTTGTTTGCCACTTGTATGTCTTCTTTTGAAAAACATCTGTTTATGTCCTATGCCTGCTTTAAAACATTTTTTTACTTTCAATTCTGGGATATATGTGCTGAACGTGCAGGAATGTTATATAGGTATACATGTGCCATGGTGGTTTGCTGCACCTATCAACCTGACATCTAGGTTTTAAGCCCCGCATGCAGTAGGTATTTGTCTTAATGCTCTCCCTCCCCTTGCCCCCCAACTTCCGACAGACCCCTGTGTGTGATGTTCCCCTCCCTGTATCCATGTGTTCTCATTGTTCAACTCCCACTTATGAGTGAGACCACGTGGTGCTTGTTTATCTGTTCTTGTGTTAGTTTGCTGAGAATGATGGTTTCTGGCTTCATCTATGTCCCTGCAAAGGACATGAACTCATTCTTTTTATGGCTGCATAGTATTTCATGGTGTATATGTGCCACATTTTCTTTATCCAGTCTATCACTGATGGGCATTTGGGTTCCAAGTCTTTGCTATTGTAAATAGTGGTGCAGTAAACACATGTGCACATGTGTCTTTCTAGTAGAATGATTTATAATCCTTTGAGTATATACCCAGTAATGGGATTGCTGGATCAAATAGTATTTCTGGTTCTAGATCCTTGAGTGATCGCCATATTGTCTTCCACAATGGTTGAACTAGTTTACCCTCCCACCAACAGTGTAAAAGCATTCCTATTTCTCCACAGCCTTGCCAGCATCTGTTGTTTCTGACTTTTTAAATGATTGCCATTTTAACTGGTGTGAGATGGTATCTCATTGTGGTTTTGATTTGCATTTATCTAATGACCAGTGCTAGTGAAATTTTTTTCATGTGCTTGTTGACTGCCTAAATGTCTTCTTTTGAGAAGTGTCTGTTCATATCCTTTGCCCACTTTTTTTCTAATAAATACATTTAAGTTCCTTGTAGATTCTGGATATTAGACCTTTGAAAGATGGATAGATTGCAAAAAATTTCCCCCATTCTGTAGGTTGCCGGTTCACTCGGATGATAGTTTCTTTTGCTGTGCAGAAGCTCTTTAGCTTAATTAGATCCCATTTGTCAATTTTGGCTTTTGTTGCAATTGCTTTTGGTGTTTTAGTCATGAGGTCTTTGCTTATGCCTATGTCCCGAATGGTACTGCCTAGGTTTTATCTAGGGTTCTTACGGTGTTAGGTCTTATGTTTAAATCTTTAATCCAATTGCCATGCAATCTCTAATGATTGTTTCTTTTGCTGTACAGAAAATCTGGAGTTTAATTAGATCCTGTTTGTCTATTTTGGCTTTCATTGCCAATGCTTTTGGTATTTTAGTCATGTAGTCCTTGCGTATGCCTGTGTCCTGAACAGTTTTGCCTAGGTTTTCTTCTATGGTTTTTATGGTGTTAGGCCTTATGTTTAAATCTTTAATCAATCTGGAATTGTTTTTAATGTAAGGTGTCAGGAAGGGGTCCAGTTTCTGCCTTCTGCACATTGCTAGCCAGTTTTCCCAACACCATTTATTAAACAGGGAATCCTTTCCCCATTGCTTGTTTTTGTCAGGTTTGTCAAAGATTAGATGGTTGTAGATGGCTGGCGTTGCCTTCGAGGCCTCTGTTCTGTTCCTTTGGTCTATATCTCTGTTTTGGCACCATTACCATGTTGTTTTGATTAGCGTAGCCTTGTAGTATAATTTGAAGTTAGGTAGCATGATGCCTCCAGCTTTGTTCTTTTTGCTTAGAATTGCCTCGGCTATGCAGGCTCTCTTTTGGTTCCATATGAAGTTTAAGTTGGATTTTCCCCTTCTGTGAAGAAGGTCATTGGTAGCTTGATGGGGATAGCACTGAATCTGTAAATTACTTTGGGCAATATGGTCTTTTCATGATATTGATTCTTCCTAATCATAAGCATGGAATGATTTTCCATCTGTTTGTGTCCTCTCTTATTTCCTTAAGCAGTGGTTTGTAGTTCTCCTTGAAGAGATCCTTTACATCCTTTGTTAGTAGTATTCCTAGATATTTTATTCTCTTTGTAGCAATTGTAAATGGGAGTTCTTTCTTGATTTGGCTCTCTTTAAGTCTGTTATTGGTGTATAGGAATGCTTGTAATTTCTGCTCATTGATTTTTTTACCCTGAGACTTTGCTAAAGTTGCTTATCAGTTTAAGGAGATTTTGGACTGAGATGATGAGTTCTTCTAAATATACAACCATGTTGTCTGCAAATAGAGACAATTTGACTTCCTCTTTTCCTAATTGAACACACTTTATTTCTTTTGTTGCCTGATTGCTCTGGCTAGAACTTCCAATACTATATTGAATAGGAGTGGTGAGAGAGGGCATCCTTGTCTAGTTCCAGTTTTCAAAGGGAATGCCAGTTTTT